ACGCCTCTTGGGTTGACGACCTGGCTACGCAGCGGTCGTCACAGGGTTACACGTTCAGCCTTGGTTCCGGCTCTATTTCTTGGCGGTCTACCCGCTTGTCTTCTGTTCTCAGCTCGAGTTGTGAGGCTGAGATCTACGCAGGAGCCATGGCTGCACAGGAGTTACGCTGGCTCACTTACCTGCCGACCAACTTGAGAGAGCGGCCTCGTTCTCCTCCAGTTCTATACGTAGACAACAAGGCCGCTATTGCCTTGTGTCAAGAGCACAGACTGGAGCACAGAACGAAGCACATCGCTCTGCGGTACTTCCTTGCTCGAGAGTTGTAGCAGCGTGGTCAGCTTCGTCTTGCTCACGTGGCCACCCGGGCCAACACTGCTGATATATTCACCAAGGCACTTCCGCCTAGTGATCATCAGCGTTTCTGTTCTGCTTTAGGCCTCGTGCCTACATTGTCGAGAACTAACACGAATGAATGAGTGCATTGAGCAGAAATGAGATACTAATATGCCTAACCCTAATTTGGGTTGTACCTCATATGGGCTACCCCACTATAGCCTACACAATATATTTTGACACACCCCCATAGGCAAAGTGGGGGAGAACAGGCGGTCAGAAGACCAGTCAAGAGAAACAAAGAAAGCTCAAGGTGGATCACAAAGGCACCACATTCTGAGCACAACCAGCCACATAGCCAATTCACATGCAGAGTTATATAAAACAAAGCAAACAGTACAGTGATCACAACCTAGCAGGTGTAAGCATGCAGGGATATATACAGACCACAGTACAAACAAGGTCAAGAAGTGAGCAAGTGAGAGAACGTAGGCACGAGGCCTAAAGCAGTACAGAGACGCTGTTGGTCACCAGGTGAAAGTGCCTTGGTGAAGATATCAGCTGTGTTGGCCCGAGTGGCCACGTAAGCTAGACGAAGCTGGCCACGCTACTGCAACTCTCGAGCAAGGAAGTAACGTAGAGCGATGTGCTTCGTTCTGTGCTCCAGACTGTGCTCCTGACACAAGGCAATAGCAGCCTTGTTGTCGACGTACAAAACTGGAGGAGTCTTAGGCCGCTCTCCCAAGTCGGTCAGCAGGTAGGTGAGCCAGCGTAACTCATGTGAAGCCATGGCTGTGGCGTAGATCTCGGCCTCACAACTGGAGCTGAGAACAGAAGACGAGCGGGTAGACCGCCAAGACCCGCCCGAGCACCAGCCCCAAGCCACAAGCCCCAAGCCCCAAGCCCCAGCCCCAAGCCCCAGCCCCAAGCCCCAGCCCCAAGCCCCAGCCCCAAGCTCCAAGCCCCAGCCCCAAGCCCCAGCCCCAAGCCCCAGCCCCAAGCCCCAGCCCCAAGCCCCTGCCCCAAGCCCCAGCCCCAAGCCCCAGCCCAAAGCCCCAAGCCCCAGCCCCAAGCCCCAAGCCCCAAGCCCCGGCCCCGGCAACAAGCCCCAGCCCCAAGCCCCAAGCCCCAGCCCCAAGCCCCGGCCCCGGCCCCAGCCCCGGCCCTGGCCCCGGCCCCGGCCCCGGCCCTGGCCCCGGCCCCGGCCCCGGCCCCAAGCCCCAGCCCCAAGCCTCGTCCTCCAAGCACGAGCCCCATGCCCGATGTACTACACAAGTAGCGCAGCACCCTCTTAGCAGCCTCCCAGTGCTCTCGCCGGTGTCTCCCAGGCGCAACGTAGCGAGCCAGGATGCTAAGAGGGTACGCAAGGCCAGGTCGAGTGCAGGTCATCAGGTACATGAGGCAGCCCACAAGCTCTGGATATGGGCCACTCGGCTCTACGGACTCGTCCGAAGGTGGAGCTGAGAGCGAGTGGCCGGTAGGCAGAGGAGTGGACTGTGGTGAGGAGAACTAGAAGCCAAAGCGCTGAAGGACCTGCTGCACCATGTGTGACTAAGTCAGTGTGATGGTGCGGCGTGCTCTGTCCCGGATGATCTGCAAGCCAAGGTAGCTACGCAGCTCACCCAGGTCTGTGCACGTGTGTCTCTTCTGCAGCTCCGACTTCACAAGGGCGAGTGCCTCAGTGTCAGCAGTGGCAAAGACCAAGTCGTCGACGTACACGAGGATGTAGAACGGCGGCAGCGAGGTGTCTGTGCGCAGAAACAACGACGGGTCAGCAGTCGAAGGAGCAAACCCGAGAGCCGCAAGCGTCATCCTCAGTGTGTCGTGCCACTCACGAGGCACCTGGCGGAGACCGTAGACTGGTCGCCGGAGGCTCCACTGGGTACCAGCAGGAAACGACCCAGTGAAGCCAGGTGGGCGGTGCAGCCAGATCTCCTCGTGCAGGCTGCCCTGCAAGAACGCTGTGTTGAAGTCAAGAGAGTGAAGCTCGTAGTCACGCTGAGCGGCAACGTGCAGCAGCACCCAAAGAGTGGTCATCTTTGGGGTAGGGGAGAAGGTCTGGAAGAAGTCAACTCCCTGTCGCTGACTGAAGCCTCGTGCAACGTAACGAGCCTTGAAGACAGGCGGAGAACCCGGCGGCCACTTCGCCCTGAAAATCCACATGCCATCGACTATGTTCGCCCCAGGAGGGGGAACCTCGTCGATGTAGGTGCCTGTGGACTTCCAGGATGCCATCTCTGCGTCCATGGCTGTCTGCCACTGAGAGGAGTAGGGACCCGAAATCGCCTCTGCGTAAGTGCGCGGGGTCGGGATGTCTAGTGCATCCGGGTCTCCCTCAGGTGCAAGCAGTGAGGCCACGAGACATAGTACAGCAGCCGCAAGAGAGTCAAGGTCCTCCTGCCTGTCCTCAAGGACGTCCGTGCCAAGAGCACACTCACCCCCGACGGACGAAGGACAGACAGACTCAGACTCAGCAACAAGACTAGTGGCGTAGTCTAGTTGACACACAGCAGCAAAGTCCACAAGCTCAGCAACTAAGGCAGACACAGCAGTAGACTCAAACGACGGGTTGGTAATGACAGTAGCGAGGAGACGCGTGACAGTGGGACTAGCAGCACAAACCAAGTTAGACTCAGGGTCCGGAACGTCAGGAAGAGAGGACGCAAGAGGAGACGGCATAGGGACACGCTGCGGAACAGAGGAAGGACGAAGTGCCATAGTGTGACTACCCGGCACAGGAGGAGGACGCGGACGAGGGACACGACGAGCACGGCGAACAGTGCGAACAGGGGAGGCAGGACGAGACGCAGGCTCACGACGCTCTGTAAGGGAGGCTGGCTGCTCAGTGTAACGAGGCAGGGCAGGCAGCGGTGAGTCCTGAGGAAGGGCAGTGGACGAAGGAAGACTAAGAACCTGACGGAACACCGAGTGGGGTGGGAGCTCGGACAACTGCGGCGGCGGCAAGAAAAATGGTCGCTGCTGCACAGTGCCCCTAGCACAAGTACCTCCAGCTCCAGTGCCTCTAGCTCCAGCGCCTCCAGCGCCTCCAGTGCCAGCGCCTCCAGCTCCAGCGTCTCCAGCTCCAGCGCCTCCAGCTCCAGCGCCTCCAGCGCCAGCGCCTCCAGCTCCAGTGGCTCCTGCTCCAGCGCCTCCAGCTCCAGTGCCTCCAGCTCCAGCGGCTCCAGCACCAGCGCTTCCAGTGCCAACGCCTCCAGCCCCAGCGGCTTTAGCTCCAGTGCCTCCAGCTCCAGCGCCTCTAGCTCCAGCACCTCCAGCTCGAGTGTCCGCAGTGCCAGCGCCTCCAGCGCCTCTAGTGACAGCGCCTCCAGCGCCAGCACCACCACCTCCAGCGCCTCCAGCTCCAGTACCTCCAGCTCCAGTGCTCCCAGCTCCAGCAGCGCGACTCCGAAGACGTGTGTGCCGAGCAAACCACTTGCGCAACTGCTGAGGTGAGAGAGGCTCTCGCTGGCCAGACCGCTGCGGCGAGGCACTCTGAGGACCTCCAGCAGACGCAGTACCACCAGGCACAAGACCCCCAGACTCAGCACCAGCGAGCTCAGCACCCCCAGTCGTAGCACTCCTAGGCTCAGCACCCCCAAGCTCCGCACCCCCAGGCCGTACACCCCTAGGCTCCGTACCCCCATGCTCCGCACCCGCACGCCCAGCACCCCCAGGCTCCGCGTGCTCAGGCTCCGCACCCGCAGGCCCAGCACCCCCAGGCTTCGCACGCTCAGGCTCAGCACCCCCAGACGTAGCACCACCCCCAGCAACACTAACCTGAGTCACCAGTGACCTCGACAGGCTCAGCCAAGGGAAGTGGGTCTACCTGAGAGACACCTGAAGGAGCAGGACCCTGAGGGGGGAGGGGGTCTACCGGAGGGGGACCTGGAGCGAGTAAGAGCGGGGGAGGGGAGGAGGGGCAATGCGGTAGGGGAAGAGACTGTAAAATGGAACCGACTCGTCAAACGTGACATCCTGAGATGGGAAGACATGGCGCGAGGTGGGGTGGTAAAACTGCCAGCCAGGCGCGTCAGGGGGAAAACCAAGGAAGACGCAGGGGACGGCGCGAGAGGAGAGCTTGTCCGCGGTGGTATCCCGAATAAAGGCACGAGAACCCCAGACCCGGAACCGCGACGCATCGCCAACCTCCCCCGTCCAACGTAGTGTAAGTGAGGTCTCCGAAAAGGAGACACAGGGCCAGAGGTTGAGCTGATGCGCCGCGTACCGGACCGCAAACGGCCGTCCAACGTAGTGTAGGCGAGGTCTCCGAAAAGGAGACACAGGGCCAGAGGTTGAGCTGATGCGCCGCGTACCGGACCGCAAACGGCCGTCCAACGTAGTGTAGGCGAGGTCTCCGAAAAGGAGACACAGGGCCAGAGGTTGAGCTGATGCGCCGCGTACCGGACCGCAAACGGCCACAGAAAATGGGGAGCAGCCGCATGGATCATAGAGGTACGAGCGACCTCCATGACCAAGCCAATGCGACGCTCAGCAATCCCATTTTGCTGCGGGGAGGCCGGAAGCTTGAACGACTGGAGTATGTCCTCCCCCTGACAAAAGTACCTCAAGAGGTCGAAGGAGAACTCACCACCTCTGTCAGAGTGCAGACGCAGGACAGGAAGGTTCGTGTGGAACCGCTCGCGCAGCTGGAGAAGAACAGCTCGGATCTAGGGGATCAGGACATCAGGGACCTCCCCATTGCTGCGCAAGGGGAAGACCGTGGTGTAACGCGAGTAGTCGTCAACAACCAGCAGAAAGTACCGCTCGTGGCTCTGTCCACTGATGCGGGCTGGGCCCCACACGTCCATGTGGAGAGTCTGCAAGGGAGCAGTCGTCGGGGGAAACTCGGAGGAGTGAGGAGCGGCGCGTTGCCGCCCCTCGACGCAAGGAATGCAAGGCGGCGCAGGCGAGGGAGGGAGGGCAGGCAGAGACCTGGGAAGACCAGAGACAAGGAGGTGGGAGTGCATGCCACGGAGGTGACCAAAGGAGAGTCTGGTGCGACAGGAGGCGACACTCGCATGGGGCTGCTACCGGACCTGACGCGGACACTTGAGCAGACGCAGCGACCTGAGTCGGCGCAGTAGTCAGAGTGTACAGACTCGACCCAGGTCGACCGGTGAACAAGGCCAGGTGACGGCCAGTCCGGGAGCACGTACAGATCGCCACACGCTGTTGTCCAGGATTAAAGGTATCAACCCCTGCATTCTGAAGGACTGCGGTGCTCACCAAGTTCGTCGAGAACGAGGGGAGGTGGAGACCTGACAGCGAGCCGGACGGAACCGCCGGACACGGGAGCACAGTGGAGGAACATGCAAAAACCGGGCCCCTAGAGGGGTCAGCCAGGGAAACTGCAACGGGCCTAGTGAGAGGTATGACTGTGGTACTGTCGCGAAAGAAGCAGCGAGAAGCACCTGAGTCAAGCGTGAAGGTGTGCAAGGCCTCAGCAGGCGCAGTACCAGAGAGAGCAGACTCACTAGCACCTAGAGCAGCAGCCTCTATACCTGGGTCAGGCGGCACACACAAGTAACAGTCACCCTCAGCACTAGTAGTCATAGCATTCATGCCAGCAAGAATAGCATCATAGCCAAGAGCAAAGATATCAACACCATCCCTAAGCAGCTCTGCCCAGCGGGGCATCTCAGCCTCATCGCCATACTTAGTGCGCCAAGCGTCGTCTAGGCGGGAGAAACAGCGATGCTGAGTGTGAAACTTCCCACACGTCTGACCAGCGTGGTTGCCTGTGCAAATGACATATGGGCAGCGACCACTATCCCTAGATGCCAGACGCTGAGCGTACCACTGCTGAAGCTGCTGGGGCGTAAGGGTCTCACCTTAACGCTGCTGCTGCTACCACTGACCGGCTCCAGCCCGACCACCACCACTGCCGCCGCCACTACCCCCTCCACTGCCACTACCGCCGCCACCACTCCCACTGCCGCCGCGACGTCCACCACCACCCCCAGTACCGCCGCCACCGCCGCCACCGACTCCACCACTCCCGCCACCACTCCCACCGCCACCGGCCCCACCTCCACCGCCTCCACCGCCTCCACTACCACCCCCCCCGCCACCACCCCTACCGCTCTTGCCTCCCTTGCCCTTGCCGCTGCGGCGCTTCCCACTAGGAGCAGAAGCAGCACCGACCTCCTTAGCACCAAGGAAGTCGACAGCAGCAGCAGAAGCAACAGAGGGGGCAAGGGGGGAGGGGGAGCACCCCTCAAAGAAGGGCGTGCGAGGAGTGCCACGAGTAGCACCTACAGCGACTACACTAGTCTCAGCGGCAAGGAGGTGCTCCTCAAGCAGGTCGATAGTGAGTTTGGTGGGGTTAAGGGCGAGAAAGTGGTCCCTGACTGCGCGAAGAGAGTCAGGGAGGCGGGTGACTATAAAGTAGAGTGTGGTGTAAATCGGGGGCTCATTCTTTGGGACGCTCTCGGCTGGGAGGGCAGCGCGGTAGCGCGTGTCACTAGTGCGAAGGTGGGTAATGAGGTCCGCTACGGTCGCAAAGGAGGACAGCTCGGGAAACAGGTAGGGCAGTATAAGGCGGCCGAGAGCTGCAGTGGAAGGGGAAGAGTAGCGAGCGATTACAGCATCGCACAGGGCTTTGGTAGTTTTGGGCTGGTCAAAATGAGCGCGTTCGGCTATCGGCAGGTGGTTGCGAACGGCTAGACGAGCGGCAGCGTCACGAGTAAGCCAATTGGAGTGAGTCGTACTGTCAGCAGTCTCGGGAGGGGGAGGACAGGCCTAAGAGGTGAGGTCAAACAGTGAGACATCGTCTTTCGGATTGCTCAGCATGTACAGTTGGAGGTTCTGAAGCCATGTCTCAAACTTAATCGAGCGGCCCTCTGGATCGAACTCGAGGACGCTGAGAGTGGCCATAACGTAGTAGTGCAGGGTGGCGCGTAAGGCAGTGCAGGGCCAGGGCGCGCAAGGAGGGCAGGGCAGGGCTGGGCACGCGGGCAGGGCAGAGGCAGCGCGCGGGGCTGCAGAGGCAGCGGGCGGGCTGCAGAGGCGGCGCACAGGGCTGCAAGGGCAGCGCACGGGCTGCAGGGGGCAGCGAGAGGGCTAAAGGAGTGGCGCGCGGGGCGGAAGAGGCAGCGTGAGGGCTGCAGAGGCGGCGCACGGGGCTGCAGAGGCAGCGCGAGGGCTGCAGGGGCGGCGCGCCGGGCGGCAGAGGCAGCTCGCGGGCTGCAGGGGCGGCACGCGGGGCTGCAAGGGCAGCGCGTGGGGCGGCAGAGGCAGCGCGAGGGCTGCAGGGGCGGCACGCGGGGCGGCAAAGGCAGCGCGCGGGCGGCAGGGGCAGCGCGTGGGGCTGTAGGGGCAGCGCGCGGGCTGTAGAGGCGGCGCGCGGGGCTGCAGAGGCAGCGTGAGGGCTTCAGTGGCAGCGTGCGGGGCTGTAGGGGCAGCACGCGGGGCTGCACGGGCAGCGCGCGGACGGTAAAGGCGGCGCGCGGGGCTCCAGGCAGGCGGTGCGCGAGGGCGGCGCAGGGCAGGGCACTGCGTCGGGTAGCGCGGTAACCGCAGACGGTCACTTTGGTGGGCTCAAAAGAAAGGAACGGTTCTACGGACCTACTGCTCTGAAACCATGTCGAGAACTAACACGAACGAATGAGTGCATTGAGCATAAATGAGGTACAAATATGCCTAACCCTAATTTGGGTTGTACCTCATATGGGCCACCCCAATATAGCCTACACAATATATTTTGACATACGTTTGCGCACTTGCTCACTGCGTGACATTGCTTCTAGTGTGATCTATATATATATATGCCTGCATGCTTACACTTGCTAGGTGGTGATCACTGTACTGTTTGCTTTGCTTTATATAACTCTGCATGTGAACTGGCCTTGTGGCCATTTGCTTGTGCTTAGAATGTGTGGTGACTTCGTGATCCACCCTGAGTTTGCTTTGCTTTTCTTGACTGGTCTTGTGACCACTGGTTCTCCCCCACTTTGCCTATGGGGGTGTGTCAAACTATAACGATACTTGTTGTGTGTAGGCTGTAGTGGGGTAGCCCATAAGGGGTACAACCCAAATCAGAGTTAGTACTTGTACTCACATTTTTGTTCAATGCACCATTCCTGCTACTAGATTCTAACATGATTTAGCAAGGGTGGCTGGGAAAAAGCGGCCTATCATCAGGGCAAAAAGGATATTTTACCCTGATATTTTGGGCCCTGCTTAGCGCGTACATTACTATTCTCGCCACACTCAGCACCGTTACCACTCGCGACACTCGCCTCGACCATGTCCCGCCACCTCGCCCGTCGCAACCCAACCTTACGGCTCGGCTGGTAACCCGCACTCCGGGCCTCCGCTGTTGGAAACAAGTAACTTAAACGCTTCCTTTGTGTCGCAACACCGAACTGTAAGCGAAGCGAACTACAGCGCAGCAGTGACGAGTCAACCGAGGAGGTTGACGGGAAACGTAACCTCTGGAGGTTACGCGAAGGTCAAATGTCGCCTGACCTTTGACTCGACAGATACAGCGCGACAGCAAGGACAAACAGCTGACTCGTTACAGAGCAGTTGCCCGAGTCGACACTGTATCGAACCGCAACAGCAACATTAAAACGGTTTTTGCATCTTCTCATATCCTCTGTAATCTTACAAAAGCTAGTACCTTCATTCTATAATCAATCTATCTTGCCCTCACACACTAGCGCAAGGTGGTTCAATACTTGTCATTAAAACGCTTCCGCAATTATAACATTCCTACCAGGAGTTCTAGCCTTGAAAAGATCCTAAGGGCCATTTCTAACCCCAACATGGTATGAGAGCAAGTCAAGGGAAACTCCACTTCGTTTAAACATCTACAACACCAGAAGACATGGCTACACAGAAGGACAGAAACCCCTCTAGTGGCACTCCCGGCACCACTCCTACCCCACCTCCAGCCTCTGGCCTGCAGACAGAGGGAGGTATAGCAACACGACCAGCTGCTGAGTCTACGGAAACCACTGCGAACCAGACAACAGGCTTCGACCCAAGCATGATGGAGAAGTTCTTCTCCTTCATGGCCTTCTACGAGCAACACCAGCAAGGAGCACCTGCGCAATCAAGCAACAACAACAACAACGACGAAGTCACACCCATGAGTCTCGATGGCTCATCATACGCACGGGGAAACCAACAGCAGCCTACCTTTGCGCCGTACGAGCCTCAACGTGGCTCCACCAGCTTCATGCCGAATCAACCTGCGCCTGGACAAGAGAAGACGTTAGATGCGATTCAGATACAGTTGCAATTCGCGCACGTGTTAAAGGTGCAAACATCGACACCCTTCGACGGAAAGGACTTCTATACCCGGTCCTTCGAATTCCAGCTGATGATGGAAGGCACGCAGATTCTTGGATACTTCGACGGTTCCCTGCCATACCCAACGCACAGGACACAATACGACATACAGCAGTATACATACCAATTGTTAATGGCGTACACGATTCTGCTACGAAATATATCGCCGAACGAGCAGCAGAACATTCGGTCTTATCGAGGATACGGCAACTCCGCCGAGCTCGCGTACAGTCACCTGAAGAACTTGTATCAAGCAACAGAGAGTCTCAATCAAAGTCGGCTCATGGCACAACTGACAACAGTTGAAATGAAACCAGGCGAAAAGGGAATGGCGTATATCAGCCGCTGCCACGGACTGCGCGACAGACTCCTTCGATGCGGAGGAGCAATATCAGAAGAAGCCTTTGTCAATGTCATCATCGCTGGACTTGGTCCCCATTGGCGTTCCACCCGCGCCCTTCTTCGAGCCCACGGGAAGATTTCCGAAGCAGCACTCTGCGCCAAAATCCACGCCGAACAGCAAGACATGGACCTGCACGAGGAGCCGCACAAGAAGAAAACGTCAGTACCCAAATTTGCTTTTCACACTCAACGACGCTACAACAACAACAACAACCAGCAGAACAAGCCTCAAGCACAACGCTACGTACCTCCATTCTGCCACCTCTGCAAGACGTCAGGGCATCCTCGTACACACTGCCCAAATCAGCAGCAATCAACGCCACCGCAACGTCAACTTCGACCTTCAAGCAGTCAAATGGCGTCCACACAAGTACACCCCGCCACCAAAACGCAATCTTCAACGACGTCAACATCATCTGCACAAGGGACAAGAAACATCGTAAGCTGCATGACAAGAATCACACACTCCTGCACCACCGAGTCACTGTCGAGAGAATTAGGCAAAAGAGGGGGCTGAACTAGCAAGAATGGGGATACAAATAGCAAACCCTAGAAGGGTTGTACTCGCTACAGAGCACCCCACTACAGGCTAGAGCATAATATTCTGACACACCCCCATAGCCAAAGTGGGGTGTAATCAGCAGAGGAAACAAAGCAGTACAAGCTCAGGGTGGATCACGATGTCACCACACATTCTGAGCACAAGCAAGAAGTAATAGTTTATAAGTTATGAGCAAAGCTAGAGGCGGTCACAGAGGACAAATGAGGAGGAGGAGGGCTGGCGAGAGGAGAAAGGAGTGGAGGCGACGACTGAAGCTGCAGACACACGGGCATCAGACGGCTCTGGCGCAACGCTAGTGGCTACCGGAAGCAGAGCCCCGGACTACAGGGGTAATAGTCGCTGCGGAGGGTGCAGCGGACCCACGGGCGACAGGTGCAGCCGGCTCTCTGAGCTACCGGAGGTCCGCGGAACCCCGGAATACAGGTGCTGCGGACGACACGACGGCAGTCTCCGCTCAACCTCCCCCAACAGTCCCACACCCCTCGACACACACCCCTTGCTTCACCCCTAGCTCCACTCCCACGGTACCCCCCCTTAAACCCCAAACCCTAGACTCCCACACACCACCCCCCTCAGCGGCAGCTGCAGTAGAGGGAGACTAGGGAGGAGGAGGAGTAGGTAGAGTAACGCACAACCGACACCCCCACAGCCGCCACCCCCACAGCCGCCACCCCCACACTCCCCACCCCCAAACCCTAAAACGGGCGAAAGGGAGAAGGAGCGCGGGGGACGGCGAGGGGGAAGGCGCGCGACCCCCAGGGCGCCACCTCTGGGCAGCGGGGGCCGCGCGCGGCTCCCTAAGGCGTCGCGACGAGGCAGCGGGGGCCGCGCGCAGCTCCCCACGGCGTCGCGACGAGGTAGCGGGGGGCCGCGCGCGGCTCCCCAAGGTGTCGCGACGAGACGTCGGGGGCGACGCGCGGGGCTGCGGGGCGACGCGGGGGGTCGACGGCGACGGGGGGAGGGCGCTTCGACGGTGGGAAACCGCCGCGCGCCTCGGGGCGCACGGCGTGCAGAAAACCGCCGCGCGCCCCGAGCGCACGGCGGGATGAAAACCGCCGAAACCCTAGAAAAACCGCCGAAACCCGAGCGCACGGCAGGAAGAAGTCGTCGCGCGCCCGAGGCGCCCGGCAGGAAGTACAGCAGCGGAAGCATTAGGTGGTGGGCCCACCCACAGGATCGACCCAGGAGGGTCGACCTGCTCTGATAGCATGTCGAGAGAATTAGGCAAAAGAGGGGGCTGAACTAGCAAGAATGGGGATACAAATAGCAAACCCTAGAAGGGTTGTACTCGCTACAGAGCACCCCACTACAGGCTAGAGCATAATATTCTGACAGTCACCGCCACACTACTCACCAGAAGAGCTACTCAACGAGAGTACTCCCCGTCGCGAGTCACTGGAGCCGAACCTGACATACGCAGCCATCACTCAAAACGAGCCGTCCGGGAAAGATACCTGGTTCTTGGACAGCTGCTGCGGACAACACATGTGCTCCTCGGGTCGCTTCGTTCAACGAGAACACCAACTGCAGCGTGAAGTCGTCATCACCGTCGCCAA